TTAGGCGAACTACAGTTGATGAATTAATATTTGTCGATAATGTTTTTTTAACTTTATTTAGTTATATAAAAATAAATAAGTTTTTAAAATTAATATAATTTACCATTTATGAGATAATGATCAATTTTCGAGAACCGCCTAAAGTACCAACTAAAAAAAACTACATTATTTTTTAAAATTTTAACATGCGATTTATTTGTATACTATTGTCAACCATACTTACTTTTTATCATTTTTTTTTGTTTTGATTTGTTTCTATAATGTATTTATTATAAAATATATTTTTGTTTTATAGTATGTTAAATAAACTATAAAGCCTTCGGATGAAAATTAGAAAAATCTATTGATTATGTAAGGGATTTATTTTTTGAAAATTGTTAAATCATTTTTCAATTATTATGAAAAAATTGAATTCTAAAAATCTGTGTGTGTAATTTGCAAACATTTATACACAAAATTTTATTTTAAATGTTATTACATAAATTAATAAGAAGTAGGCTACTTCTATAACTTTTATAAATAATAGTAATGACATTATATGACAATAAAATTTATAAAAAAATAATAATGGAGTATTATATGGTGAATGATTATAAGTAAAGCTTTTATTATTTCCTATATCAATGAATAGATATATATTCAAAAATCAAATTTATATTAATATAACGTGTTAGCGCAATAATATATTAATTAACATGTTAATATTTTGGCTAAAATAAACATCATTGAAAGTGGAAGATGAATGATCCAACCTTATTATTTTTTTGTCTAAATGTACAAGTCTAATAAAAGTTACTCATTTAATATATGTGTCCCGCACCAGATACCACTAGCGAAAATAAATAAAAAAAGGTCAAAGGTTAGGACGCTGAGATTGAATTTGATAAAAGAAAAATCAAGTGGCGGCCATGAAAGTCAAAAATAGCCCGCTAGACTCATAGAACAACAAAGGAGGTTGTTCTAGAAGAAAGTAGGGGAAAAACAAAATAAATAAAATAGAAGGCCAAGAGCACATTTTCAATCTGTTTTCTTATTATTATTATTATTATTTTTTTAACTTCTTGTTTTTTCCTCCTCATTTCTAATTTTATAATATAATTATAAGTTTTGCTATGAGCTATCAAGTTCACACGTTATAATAATATCATCCAAAATAAATTACAAAAAATATGTACCGATACCTATCAGAAAAGACGTGTGTTAATAAAATGTCTGCTAATTTCATAAAGTTTCTTAACTCGGCTGTATTCAGGAGTATGTATCAAATTCCTTCATACACCTCATGTATATTATAATTGGTTATTTCAAGTTAAAAGTAACATAATTATATATGAATCTAAGTTTGAATGAAGTATTAACTCCTTCTCTTGCAAATTTATAACACTTATGATAAATGTTCTAGATATTATTATGTTTAGAAGAAGTATTTGTACATAATCAATCTATTTATATGACATAAACGTGCACACTATAGATACACAGCCATCAGTTGTGATTTATTAATTTTTATAACTTCATCAATTGTCAAAAATGAATTTCGGTAAGACTACTATTTAGCAGATTTAACGGTTAAATATACAGGACTTTTCAATAGATGTGTATATTTTTCGAATTAAAGTGTAACATTCTGAAAAATAACACAAACAAAAATATGACATTTAATAATATAAAATAATATTTTGTTGAAAATGTACAACAGTTTGACATGCCTAACCAGCAGTATCACACAAAAAATTGGTGATTAAATAATCATCAGCTGTAATCTACAAATCTTATTTAAACGAATCGACAATTAACCACAGTCGAAAGTCCTTTAAATATCAAAGGTCAGCTAATCCTTCAATTAGGAAAGACTTTCCCTTTTGTTAGCGTCCTTTAATTTGGGCCTATACTGGACCTATAAAGCCCATATTTCCAACTCGGCCCACCCCAGCCACCGTCCACCACCTCACATTAATTAAGCAAAAAAAAGTGGGGGAAATCAAAAAAGGGCAATAGAAAAAATTATAAATTTGGTCTCAAAATTTTTGTTGTTTCCCACATTTGGTCCCAAAAAAGTCAATTATGGTCCTTTTTGAATTTTCATTGCCAAAATGGTCCCACTCCGTCAAGACTCAACAGTCAACGTTTATAGCCTGGGACCAAATGTGAGAAACAGCAAAAGTTCTGGGACCAAATTTGTAATTTTCTCAAAGAGTAAGTGATAAAAATTATTTAAATTTATTTTTATTAGAAATGTTTTTTTAAAAAGTTTTTAGTAAATATTAAAAAGGTATATTACCATTCTTTCCTAACAATACATTTAGTTTATATTTTAATAAATTATAAAAGATAAATATAACTAACATACAATTCTTTCACATTTTTTATTTTAAATTAAAGTTTAACTTAATTTTTTTACATAAAATGATTATTTAATTTGGTAACTTAAAAAAAGGTGTATAAATTAATTTTATTAATTAGTTCATGATAAATGAGATGCAAAAAAAATATATGATATATCTTACTATAAATAAGTGGGAGCAAATGCCTATTTTCATTTAATTTAATGTCAAATTTTGTTTTATTATGCTTAAAATTGAAATCTTTTATGTAGATGTAATTTGTATAAATAAATAGATTTTTCAATTTATAGTTGTCAAAATCAAATTAATAAAAAAAATATTAAATTAAAAATAGACAATAATAAAAAAATAGTTTAGATTGAGTTTTTTTTTTAATTCGTATTATTTTATAAAGTTTGTAAGTATATATATAAATTATCACATTATACTAATATTTAAAAGTGTAGACGGATTAGTATTATTGTAAGCATATTCACATTTTTTCTTATTTTGATAAATTTGATTATGTCTTTTGGTTTGCTTTATTTAATTAAAATAATATTATTTCTAAATATTCTTTAATTTAAATAATATTCAAATAATTGCCAATATTTTTTAAGTAATGACGGTAAAAATATTAGAAAATAAAATNCATCTTCACATGAGCCCCGTCAATCTTGACGGGCGTGGGACCATTTTGACAAATAAAATTAAAAAGGACCATAATTGACGTGTCTGTGACTAAATATGAAAAACAACAAAAATTGTGGGACCAAATTTATAATTTCTCAAGGACAAAAGGTAGTTGCCAGATTTTGATTTTTTTGTTTTCTTTTTTCTTTTTTTTTTTGGGCGTAGAAAAACGAGACAGAAAAACACGCGAGAAATTCGAGGAAATTGTTGTTTATCGCGAGAAATTGGGTTGGTGGCAAAAGTCCAAATGTGAGAAAGGCGTAGGGAATATGTTTGTGGGGCCCATAAAGATTTGCTTAGATATTCCGTCCGTGTTACCCCATATGGACCAGACTGATTTTTTTATTTATTTATTTTTCCTTCAATTTTTTTATTACGAAATTAATACTGATACTAGTGCAGATTGCGGATGCACAAAAAATATTAAAATCTAAAATTGTGTCAAATGAATAAAATGTAACTCGTACAAATAAAAATTATACAATAATTAATATTTTTGTTATATGCGAATTAACAAACTAAAAGTTTAAACTGTAACTCAAATGAACTTGCTCGTGATTGGTTAGTAAAATATATGATGACACTTTGGTGATTCATATTAATATTATCATATATAAATGCATAATTTTTTAGTTTCTTAAAGTTTTATTGGTTCATAATTTTAGATGTCAATTTTGTGTAGTTCGTAATCATATATATCAATTTTATGGTGATTTGAAGTAGTCCATGATGAGTTTTCATCGATAACTTTTTCTTTTTTAAACTATAAAACATTTTGTGAAATTAAATTATAAATCTATGTCAAACTTTAATAATTTTTTTATTTATTATGTCAAATTTTTAAATATGATATAATAAATTAAGCATCTGTTGATTATTTTTTATTTGAGGTTCATATTGCATGTAATATTTTAAAGGTTTGATTCTATTTTAATTGTTTGCTTCTACAAGTTAACTCCTCGTAATTAAAATGCAACTAACATTTTATTAAAATGGCTATAGATTGCTTAAGATATGTTCAAAACAGGTTAAATTAATTCTATATTTATGTGGTCTCCTTTGCACTTGAGACATGTTTAATATTTGAGATATACATATTTTCTGAAATAATAAAAATAAAAGTTTGAGTGGCGACAATATTATTAGTGCCTAGAGAAAAAAAAAAATTCAAAATTTATGCTTTTTTTGAATTTCAACTATATACACTACATTTTTGTTCCAATTTAGTGAAATGCTTCACATTGCACAACATGTTATTAAGACAAAATATAATTGTTTGAAAATAATATAGAAACAATCTCATTCTTTTTCCTTAAAATGATAGGTGTAAATCATAAAATTCGACCGACAATTAGATGACTATATATTGATTAATTTATTTCTAGATATAGTATATACTCTTATTTAGTGAGAAATAACTATTATTTTAAAATAATTACACCTTTATATATATATATATAAATATAGATTGACAATTATATTATATAATAAAAATACGACGAAAATGAAAATGGACGACCCTTATCCAGAAAACCGCACAACCTCACACAGTTACATTCCTAACGCCGTCAGCTGATCATGAGAAACCCAAACCCTTGTCATCCTGACGGCGTCACCAAAAATCCCACAGCCGTTAGCTGAAAATCCCGCGGAAAAGGATAAATTTGTACGAAAACTGAAAACAGTGGGATCAGGTCCAGAATGGATTTACTCAATCTCAACAGTATTGCCTTTTTATTTAATTAAAGCACGGATTTCACAAGATTTGATTTTTTTAGAAGACTGTTTTTTTGTGTTTGCTTACGAAATACTCTATGTAACATTTTGAATCTTTGTACTAAATAATTCAATTATTTCGATTTTATAAATGAATTTTTTTTAGTCCTAAGCCAAAAGAAACTTATTACATATTAATATCCTCTCTCTATATATACATTTTCTTAAGGACCTTATTGACCATTATTTTCTTCTCTCTATATTTTTTTTTTTTTTTTTTTGGTGATGTTTTGTTCAACACTCTTTCATTTACTTTCGATATACAAGGATAAGTTTCAATTAAAAAAGAGTTTCAATTTAAAAAGAAAAATCAAATCTTGGCCTTATTTTCATCTGCGCTATTGAGATTTTCTTTGAGAAAATAAGTTTCAATTAAAAAAAATATCAAATCTTTGCCATATTTTCATCTGCTATTGATTTTTTCTTTAAAGAAAAAAAAGAGTTTCAATTTTTTGAAAAAAAAAAATCTAATCTTGGGCTTATTTTCATCTGGGCTATTGAGATTTTCTTGAAAAGAAAAATGGCAATGAATGGCAATGTTTTTTCAAGATTAGATGATTCTCATCATGAGATTCATGTTCTTGCTGTGGATGATAATCTTGTTGATAGGAAAGTCATTGAGAGGCTGCTCAAAATCATTTCATGTAAAGGTATTTTTTTTTTTTGTAATTTGTTGTTATTCTATTTATTTTTATTTTGGGTGAAAGTTTAACAATTTTGAGCTTAATTACAGTGACAGCAGTTGATAGTGGGAGAAAGGCCTTGCAGTTTTTGGGATTGGATGATGGAGGAAATTTGGTTGGTTTTGAAGTAAGTTTTCAATAAAAGTTATATTTCTTAATTATATAGACTTTGTTTTATTCCTTATAAGTTTGAATTTCGTACATTGATTGTTATATATTAACCAATGTGAATTGGTTATTTGCAGGGCTTTAAAGTAGATCTGATAATTACAGATTATTTCATGCCTGGGATGACTGGCTATGAGTTGCTGAAAAAGATTAAGGTCTAATAAATTGTCAATAAAATTATTTAAATTCACTGCTAAAAATTTTGATTTATTAAATATTTATTAATTTTGTTTGCAGGGTTCGTCTAATTTCAAAGAAGTACCAGTTGTCATCATGTCATCAGAAAATGTCATGGCTCGAATTGAGAGGTAATCTCACATACTTTGGTTTTATTATTATTATTATTATTATTATTATTATTATTATTATTATTATTATTATTATTATTATTTGTGTGCATTTTTTCTCTTTAGTCTCTAATTTATAACTCAGCACACATAAATTGCTTCTTAATTAATAGACATAAGAGTTAACAAATTCACACAATTAAAGCCATGATCTTTACTATATAGTGAATTAGTGATGCATTAAGTGAAGGACTGTTATTTATGCTTCCATTAAGCCTTTTGAACTCAAACATTATATTCTAAAGAATAATGTGAACAAAAAATTGACATTTTATAACATAATTATTATGTATGGTGATAAATTTGTGGTTTTCTATTAAATTAATGAATAAAATTTCTACACATAGTTTTGTTGATAAATTATTGATGTTATATTAATCAGATGTTTGGAAGAAGGTGCTGAGGATTTTATTGTGAAGCCCGTAAAATTGTCTGACGTAAGACGCCTCAAGAACTACATGTTTCGCGAAAATCGTATAAACGCGCAAGAAATTAGAGGGCCTCATGGAAGAAAATCACAAGAGATTGCCCCTAATTCACCGACCTAAGTTTTTGATATTTATTTCAACTTTTACAAACTTGATATTGATTAAGTTTGTTGGTAATGGTAGCTTGATGTGTATGTAGAAGAACTAGGTAAAATTACATTATTATTATTATTATTATTATTATTATTATTATTATTATTATTATTATTGATAATGTAATGTAGTGAAGACCTAATATTGTTTAAATTTGTTCTTCTATGACCACTAGTAATTGGATAGAATGTGAATAGAGTCACAACAAACTTAGTTAATTGTTAATTTGACTTGGCTAAAATATTAAATTACCTTGTTTTTGGGGGAAGATTGCTATAATATTTGAAATTGGACATATGAAGATTTGGATTTTGATTTGATTGTGATATTAGTTGTTATTTGTAGTCAGTTCTTGTCTGCTACAGAAAATTATTATTAGATTCTGATTTGAATATGGACATGTTTCATGCTGGGGTTTTGCTAATCCTTAAAAGGTCCCATTGTACATATATCTTCATTTGCTATCAGGCTTAATCCTGTCAGTTGGTACAACGATTCCTTATGACGCATTAAGAGAATTGTGTTGGATAAACTTATCATCTATGTAGGATAAAAAACTTGCCCTATAACATAACTGTTATTCAAATTGAGATGATTGTAATTACAATTCAGTTCGACTTGTTAAAGTATATGAGCTCGGCTCGTTTGTTACATAAACGAGCTGAGCTCGACATTCAAATTTTCTTACAAGGGCAAGAATGTAATGTCGTCTAAGAATTATTTTGAAAATAATCTCATTTTAAATGGTATTATTATAATCAAATTCACCATTGAAATGTATTGAATGAGAGAAAATGCATGGAAAAGAAGAGAGAAAATACCTTTGATGCCTTATATAAGTATCAAAGTATTTTATAGCTTGACTAACACGTACAAAAGATTAAGACTGATGTTAGGTAGACTAATGGTTAAATAAGTGAATTTTTTCAACGCCGCCGCATATTTTCAAACTACTGAGTGTCATATTTTATGAAAAAAAATATAAATAATAATATGACAATTCATTATATAAATATGTGTATAAAGGTAAAGTTGTTTTATACTAAAGATTTTGAATGGAAAATTTATACATTCATAGTATACATTATATAACAAATAGTATGCATAAACATTAAATGTACATGTTTGACTAATTATCAGGCAAATCAAGGTCCAATAATTTAATAAAACTACAGCCTACATTATAATAAATGTTATAATCAGTGTACGTGTACAATCTATAATGAATAAATATATACATAGCATTTGATGCATTACAAAATATATAGTTAATTACAAATTATTTTTATTCATGCTGTAGATCTCCAATCCATATTCACAATGTAATAGACCTATTTGTGACACTTCAACATCATAAAAAAATGAAACAAAATAAATATAAATACTAAATAAAACCGAAGGGCCTCAACAATAAATCAAAAGGGGTGGCAAAAACGCAAAAGTGATGATCATTAATATCCAACTAACATGTTGACAAAAGGGCTCACTTAAAGCAATTACCAATATTAGCAAGAATTTTTTTTTCTGTTTTTTCTACTACTTTTACTTAATCATGATTACAAGACTATCATGATCAAATTACTTTAACAAATTATACCAATTAAAAAGACTCTGGCTGTCTCCTTTTAACTGAATTATAATAATATTTTGCAGAACCATGTATCACATAAAATATTGGACAAAAAAATGGACATTAGAGATCAAAATACTAAAATTATTACTAAGAATTTGAAAAGAATTTCATATTTACAGAAACCGACACTTGTGTTTCGGCAATATCACAATTTTTCGTGTGAGGCGGTTTAATTATTAGGAGAACCGACTCGTTATATTTTCTTTCTAATACTTATATTATAAAATGTTACTTTTTTTTTATTATTTATGATTATTAAATATCAGTTAAACTTAAGTAGAAAAGTGTGATTGTCGGACTATTAAATCTGCCTAACAGCATTAATGTTTCGATAATTGTCTTCTACATTTCATGAGAGGCAGTAGGTTTATTGGGCTTTTGAAATTAAACTCAACTTTCTACATAATCTGGTCCTCGTACTGAGACTTTGGTAACATTTGGGCCCAAAATCTAAAGGACAACTTTTACTGAGGCCAAAATTTTTAAAAAAGATATAGGGAATCATTATTTTTAATTTAATTGGACTTTGATTTATTATGTGAAACAGTCCGTTTCAAGTGTTTATAGTCACGGGCTTATACGTTGTTCCTAGTCTTTCCCAACTTGTTCAACTTCTCTCCCCATTTATCACACTTTATAAGGGTCGCCAAGCCCATTAACCTAATAGCCTTTCAGGCTTTTCAAATAGGGAAAATTTTATCCCCACAGTGATTTACTCTTTATTGCAAGATTACTAACAAGAGTAATTTAATTTCACACATATCTAATGCATGCAATTAATTTGTGATAATACCATATTTTGGTTACCCAACAAACAAGGATCATTCTCCTTAAATCACGGGAAAGCAGCCGTTTTTTCTTTGGAAAAAAAATATAATGATAATGGTAAGTGTATATCCTATGGATATTCTTCAATTCAAATTTAAATCATATGTAGTTTGAAATTAAAAGTTTATTATTATCTGTAGGATATATTTGTAGTATATTTTCTGGGAGGTCTCATGTTTTTATATATTTTCTTTTCATTTTTTTGAAATCTAGATGGATCCACAAAATTTGCGTTATATACTGAATATATACTAAATATATACTGAATAATTCATGATGTCGGTATATATTTTGTATATATACTGAATATATTCTATGTATGTGTATACCGAATATATACTAAATATATGTTGAATATATATTTAATATACATAAAATAAACCATCGAAAAATATTTGGTATATGTATTGTATATATTTACCGAAAATATACTGCAAATCCGACATTGCGAATGATATTAATTTATCCATACATAACGATTTCTCACTCTGCATACTCCAAATCATTATTACAGCAAAATCAAGCACCATTGTTGATGCAACATCCCTTCATTTTCCATTCAATTTTTTTCAACCCACATCATAAAATCTTAAAAACTACACATAAACTTCAAATAATGTCGGATTTGCCATACTGGAGGACCAGCGCTGGCGAACCGCTATCTCCGGTTAGGTGGTCGCCAGTCGGAGCTTAGGTCGCCTTACTCCCGGAGGGTATGCCAATCCATCGATCCGCCAACCCCGCACTCATCCAAGCCGTGGGTCGCCCGTAATCGACCGATATAAAAAACAGATAAAAATTTAAATGTAATGTTGTGGAAGAAGAAGAAGACAGAGGGAGAGAACAAGAAGAAGAAGAAGAAGAAGAAGAGAGAGAGAGAGAGAGAGAAAGAAAGAAAGTATCGTGATAAAATTTTGGGAAGTTGAAAAGTCTTCCATTAATTACTCTAAAAATTGATTACAAATGTAACTTAATGATTTTATTGATATTGGTAGTTTTGCAAATAAAAAGGGCTCAACTAGTTGAATTGCTATTATTTATGATTTGGTTTCATATATGTAATAAAAAATTATATATAACGTAAACTGTGCATATTTCTCTTTCAAATATTTGAGAGATCTGAAAAGTACTAGAGGCTTAAATCCCCTACACATGTGACATGTCATTTTTTGTTTTATATTTAGATGATAAACAATTATACTAATAGTTTTATAAAAAATTATATGAAGCAGTCTAACCGTTAGGTGTACCGAATCATCATACTTTATTGACGAAAATATATACTAATTTTATGAAATGTCAAATTTTTGTTTATGATGTGTTTCTCAAGTAAGACATTTTAATTTCTTAAGTATCCATGTGCATTGAAAAAAATATGATTGTTTAACTGCTAGGCTTGTCTAACAGTAATAAATACAATTGACATATTATATTAAAGATATTAGCACATACATGTGAGCGAGTCTGTGTGCTAAAATCTATTTGGAGGTATTACCCAGAGCCATTAAATGAAACGAGCTGCTTTTGAGCTCGAATCGTAAGGCTCGAGTTCAACTCATTTGATAAATGAGTCGAACTCGAGCTCATTTAAAGTTCGTTTGGTTAATGAGTCGCGCTTGACTTGGCTCAATAAGACTCAAAAAGATAATTTTGTATATATTTTTCATAGTTCGACATATTAAAATTCAATGTCGGCTTGTTAAAGCTCATGTCCCCTCATTAATATTGATAAAACGAGCTGAGTCGTGCTTGAACTTGATTACAAGCTCGGCTCGTTTACACCTCTACTTTTTGTCAAACCTTCCAAAGCTTTGATTTTTCTTTATAGTAAGATCATGAGAATAAATAGAAATGATATCGGCCCCAAATGAAATTCTTTTTGGAGCTCAACTGATTATTTACATATCACAAAATGTGTCAAATATTTTTTTCCTTTAATATGCTATGTCAAATAAACAATTGCACTCTATAACAAACCTAATTTAGGCTCCATATAATTTCTCCTTTTTTACAAACAAGATAACATTATTTTCGTCCAACACACCAAAAAATATAAAGTAATTTATCATCATTTTCTCTCCTTTTTCCTACTCTTCATTAACATTCTTCGCCTAACTCTTTTCCCCCCTTCGTTGAGCCAAACAAAACCTTGAGCTGAATGGATAAAATTAGATAAAAAGCAACAGACCTTTTTCTAGTGCATCAACCAATTAAGTTATGAAACATATCCGATTGATCCCACTATCTCATGCCTCTCAATACTCTTACACATTCCTTTTTTTAATCTAATTCGTGCTTATTTGAATATGGAAAAAATTGCGGCTACAATAATAGGTCATAACACTAGAATTTCATATTATGGTTCCAAACCAAAACCCTTTGTTTGATTGTTTTGTTTTCTTACCTTTTTATAATGTTAGTTTTAAATGATGCCTAACTATAGATATAACTATATCTATTACTATATAATAGAAACAAGAAAAAACCTAAAAGAAACATAAAGATTCCACCCAAATTTTCGATTTTTACTACTAATGGAATTGTTTTTTGAAATTTTTTAGTTTCTCCCACCCATGATTTTTTTAAAATATTTAAAATTTTTGAAAGTAACATAAATTATCAGTTTT